CAGCAGCATCATCATTCTCTGTACTGGGAGCAACAACATCAGAAGAGAAATCACTGGTAGAGTATAATAGAAATAAAGAATTATGTAATGAAGGAAGCATCAATATCATCATCATCATCATCAGCATCGACACCATCAATGACCTCCCAACCACCAGCGATTGCAACAGTTTGATCAGCTACAAAAAGGATGTCATCAGTGGCATCATTATCATCTGAAGCAGCTGCGAGATCATCAAGATTATCAGCAGCGTCAGCGTAAGCAACGCCATCATCAACGATAGTAGCCATATTTTCAGCTACTTAAACAACATCATTCTTATCCTCTGGAGCAGCAGCATAATCATCACCATCCTCCTGTTTGCACATTCAACCGTCTGTTCATAATTTCACTTATCTCTGAAATAAAGTTCAGGAAATTTTACAGATGAGCTCAACTCATTTTTGAGTCTGTGATGAAGAGAGTGGAAGTTTGATCTCTTCGAAAAATGGCAATTTTATTCTTTCGGCCAGTTGTCGTTTGGTTTTGCTGGAACATTCGAACAGAAAAAGTGGACACAGTACTTGGATAAAACCATGAGGCAGGCTATTTTACCGATGCCAGCTGAGGCAGATTTTCTCAAGACTACATGATATGACGTATGGACTGGAAAGAAAGATGCATGAAAGTCGCAGATAACGTGATGCTAAGTAACCGACAAATTTGGGCAAAAATAAGGTTATTACTTTTTCCAGCATACCCATCGATGCCAGTGTTGAACTCATTTTGGAAAGAGGCTTCACCTTTGCCGTCCAAAATGAGAATTATTCTATGAAAGTACTGTTTGACTTAATCAATTTAACAGGCCGGAAGATGTTAAGAATAGTATAAAAAGAGAAATGTTCCTTCATTCGACTTGGTAATGGTTCCCAAAAAGTCTTATTAGTTGAGTATGATTTCAAATATTTACACTGAAATGGGCAAGAGTGGTGAAGTTGTCATCATTAGTAGGTTACGTTTTATAGAATAAATAAAGATCCATAAACATACAATCTTTTAGTGAAAGATTTTCCTCAGGATCTCAAGGCTAGACTTACTCCAACCTAAAGTGTGTGTGTGTGTGTGTATGTGTGTAGTCAACGGAGAAATGGAGAAATGGAAAGTTAATTCCATTCTTCGAAGGAAGTTCCTTTGGTAGTAATGGTTGCTAAAAATTTTAAAAATGACTCATAATTAGTAAGTAGTCACAACAATGATACAAATAATAAGTATGAGGCCTAGGATTTCACGATTCTCATGTAGACAATTCGGAAATTTGGCTGAATATAGGATATAATATGTACATAATTCATATTAAATTGTTAGATTGGTAAATCATCAACTGAGGAGGCAAATATGGGTAAAAATGCAATCTTAAGACTACTTAATCCTTCCACGACTAACATAAACTTCGCTTTTAGCGACAAGTTTCGTGAAGAAGTGCAAGGAGTAATTTCATGTCAATAATGGCGGAAAGGTGTAGGAACAAGGTAGGATTGTCGTCAAAACTGTTCTATAAATATATACAAATTATTTTTTGTCCTGACAGTCTGGTAGGGAAAGATTAGATTTATTGCTCTTACTCGTCTAATTGGGCAATATTATTGAGATCAGAGCGGAACTTGAAATGGAATTGGTTAAGTTGAGATAAGTTGGGCATGGATGTGTATGGGAAACTAACTTGATCCTTGACGATGCTTGCAATAAGTTGGGATTTTAAGATCACTTAATATTTACAGTAAATTATTCATTGATATGTGACCTGAGAATAAGTATCCTATAAGCTTAATTAAAAATAACACCATATTAATAAGGGACGCAATCCATTCATAAATCCGTCAATCCATCTATCCACTCCTAAATTCATTACTCCATATAGCCAGCCACCTATCAATCAAATCACATGTTCTCCCATCTATCTATTCAAATGGTACCCATAAATTTAGTCGTCCCTCCATTTATTCTTTCATTTTTACCTTCAGCCATCAGCATCTAACCATCCATTTACAAAAAAGTATTTAAATTAATTTATCTTGTCATTCACTCAGCCATCAATTCATCCACATATCAGAACATTAAGCCAAAGATCCATTCAAATATCCAACTTTTCATGCATCTCGCCAACTATCCATTCACCGATTCTAGCTTTCATCATTTACTTTTCTAACCATAAGGTTGTTCATCATCTTTTCATTAATCAACTCATCCAATATCAATCCCTCTTTTTCTCTCAAAGTCACCCATTCATACATCTACCCATCCAATTCATACGTCCATCTATCCATCCACTCAACCATGCTTACATTTATACTTCCCTTTATACATTCCACATCTAATGCAACCCACTAAACCTGTGCTAATCATCTAATCATACATCTTTTTTGCCCATTCCTTTATTCAACGGCTTCAATTCCACCAATTGGCCCACATCACAAATCAATCATAGTCTAAAAGTTTTTTTTTATTCACCGACAACTTTTGTCCTTGATTCGTCCACTCCTCTATCCATCAAAACTCCTTACTAACTCCCCAGGCCCGGTCACTTGCACTACTGTGTTTGTGCCCATTTGTAAAATCACACATTCATGCCCACTCATCTCTTTGCCCTTTGTTGCATCGAAACTTACGGATCGCGGAGCTTTGAATCGCCGAATTGCCAAATCGCTGGCCCAATGATCTTGAGACACAGGATCATGAGTTACCGGATCATCAAATATGAGGTCGTCAAATCGTCAACTCTCCAAGTCTCTGAACTGACTAATCGCAGGTTCGCTGGGTCGAGAATATTCGAATCGTCGAACCTCTGAGTCTCCATACCAGCGAGTCACTAGATTGCCAGATCACAGGATCTAAATTCATCTAATGGACTAATTGCAGTCGCCGAAACATGAATAGCCAGATCTACAGACCACTAAGTCTTCGAATTGAGGATAGTTAATTCGCCGGATCACCTAATTTAAGATTATCAAATTGCCGTATCTTTGAAAGGGTTGAAACGTCTAATGACCGGCTCTTTGAATTAAGGATCTTTGATTACGGATCGTGGGTAACTCGATCACAGATTAGAGGATCGTGAAATCACCGTATAACCAGATGACTGGATCGCAGATCACAGAAACGATGAATTGCGAATCGCTAAATTGCCGGATCGCAGTATGATCCGATTCACAAATAAACAAGTAGTCGAATCGTCAAGTCGCCTGATGTATAAATCCTCGATCACCAAATCGCAGGATTACTGAATCAAGCACGGTCAAATAGCCAAAGCACTGAGTCACCTGATCGGGGATAGCAAATCGCAGTACGCCAAATAACCAGATCTTCGAATCATTGCTTCCTGGATCGCGGGATAACTCGACCCAGGAAATGTAAACTGCCAATTCGTCAGATCCCCCGGCTCGCGTACTCAGAAGCAACATAGCTTCAAAGAGCCAGATCGCTAGATCGCAAATTGCGAATTTCTGAATAGACTGAACGCGGATCTCCGAATTGCCAAATAACCAGATCGTCGACACGCCGAGACACAGATCGCAAAGTCGCCCAATGTACAATAGTTTAATTGCCGAATAATCGAGTCATGGAACAGCTGATGGCCACGTCAGCAGCTGATTAGCCAGCTACATGAATTGCCAAAAAAAGCAAGACATTCGGGACTTGAATTCGCGGATCCCCTATTCACAGATTTTATGACCATCGAATTTCCCAATCGCTGTCTCATCGGATCGCAGATACCTAGATCGCAAATAATCCGATCTTTAGATCGTTGTATCACGAATCGCAGGATTACCAGATTACCAAGAATTCAAAGCTTTAGATTTGTGAATCAGGGATCGCCTGATTATCGAAGTTCCGAATAGCCAGATCCACAAATCATGAATATGAGGATCACTTTATGACATAATAGCCGAAGGGACAGATATTCATTTTACGGATCTCCAGATCGCCGAAAATAGGACCATAAAAGTGTTGAATTGCTAATTCACTAAATCACCGAAAATTCAAAGCATTTAATCGCCAAATCGCAGGTGGCCAGATCACTGAATTGCCTAAAAGACAGATCTTATGATCTTTGGATTGCAAATCTCTGGATCACCAATTGTAGTACTGTTGAATTGTTGAATCACTAATCACTAGATTTCGGATTTTGTATCATAAAATAAACATAATTTTAAATTTTCAAATCAAGGATTGCCTGATCACCTAGTTGCTAAAAAATCTGAGATCTAACTCGTCGGATCGCGAATCTCAAGATCACTGAATTGCTCGATTCCGGGATCTTGGATTACATATTACGCAATCTAGGGTTATCACATTTCTTGCTAGTATAAAAACCAGCCCGCGTAGCTATGAGCAATGGAATAATCAAAGCTTTAAATTGTCGGATTAAGGATCGTGAAATCACGGAAATACCGAAAAGTATCACTGGACCCCGTAATCATGGACTAAAGGCTAGTCTAACCGAAGGGACATATGTTAAGATCATCAATTCATGGATCACCAAAAAAGCGAGTTTATGAGCGTCGAATTATCGAACACCCATGAAACTGGATCGCAGATAGACTGATCTTCGCATCGTCAAATGGAGGATCATCGAACTACTGAATTGTCGATAAGCCAGATCTTCGGATCTTCGAATCGAGGACCTCTGGATCACCAAAAGTATTTCTGCTAAATTGCCGAATCTCTAGTCACTAGATTGCTCGATCGATGGACACTCCGATCTTCAACTCGTCAAAAGATGATCGTCGGATCACTAAATTATCTAAGAATCAAAGTTTTAAATAGTCGAATCGCGTATCTCAATGTAACCGCATTGTTAAATCTTAGAATCTGGGATCTCTGGGTCTCAGATTTAATGATCGTCATATTGCTTAAAAGAATAGATACCGGATCGCAGAGTTCTGGGTGGTTGAATACCCGGATCTCTTAATCGTCGGATCGCAAATCACAGGAACACGGAATTGCAGATAAGCCAGAGGTTCAAATCGTCAAATCGCGGATCGCCATATCACCAAGCATATCTTCGGATCATCAATTCATGGATATCTGGAAAGGCGAATATATGACCATCGAGTTACGGAATACCTGAGACAACGGGTCGCAGTGAAATTGATCACCGAATAGCCCGATTTCGGAATCGTCTAATAGGGGGTCGTTAGTCCACTAAAGTGCGCAAATCCAGATCTTAGGATCTTCTCGTTGTCGATCGCCGGATCACCTAAACTATTTCTGTCAATCTGCCGACTCGCGAATAACTGGATTACAAAGAAGACTCTCGATCATTAAAATGCCGAATTAACATATTCTGGGTTGATCGGATCGAGGAACTTCAGATCACAAAAATTATTACCGTCACCAAACTGCGGATTTTTCGATCACCGAAAACCTCGATCTTTGAATCGTTGAGTCAAGGATCTCAAGTCAATGAATTTTCGTCGGGTCAAATATCCGAATCGTCAAAACTAGGCTGGCCGGATACATAAATTGCCGGATAACCAGATCTAGCGATGTTCGGATCGTGAATCGTCGAACTGTCGACTCTCAAGTCACCAGGTCGATGAAT